AATATATAAACAAGATTACATTTATATTGGTTTTGTGATTGCGATGTTTGTATAAGATTTCTAAAAATATACACTTTAAATTTATACATCAAAGACGAAACGAAGGCGAAATTGCTTATAAGTAATTGTATGTAATATTGTTTAATAAATACATCGTGAGAAACAATATTTTTGCATCATACCTCTTGGAGCGTTAAGCCTTGTTCCTCCATGGCTGCCTCGAGACAACGAAGCCTAAATCCAAAATAAAAATAATGTAAAAAAAGTTTAAAGCACAAAGAAGAACACATTAATATCATCAATAAATCGTGCAGCAATTTATTCAATCACCTTGACTTTCTGTCTTTATGCTGGGCTAGTAAGTTCGAGTAGAACGATTGAAGAGACACCTTTGTCTTGGCCGCTTTCTCGAGCGTATGCGGCGAAAAGCGTTCCTGTGAGCCACTTGGATTTGATGTGGTAGCCGACATATTGTTGCAAGGCTTCTATTTTCCGTGTAAGCTAAGCCATTGTCAAAAACGAAAGTAACTTTCAAGTGAATAAACAAGCATAATTGTTGTGTTGCCTTTTGGCAACTTTTGCCTTTGGCTATTTAAAATTTTCTTTCCGCTCGGCCCAGGCTTGCTCGAACGCGAAGTAAACAGTACGAAGTACTTCATTTAGATGAAAATTTAATCTCATCAACCCGAAATAAACAACACAATCAATGGTGACAATTGTTTTTTTTATTATTCTTTTGTTTATAACTATATAACAATGTGGTGTTTTGGTTGTATGAAGAATCACGAGAGTGTGAAAACATGTAGTCGTTGCAAGATAAACACATACTGTTCAGTTCGATGTCAGACTGCTCACTGGGCCTTTCACAAACGTAACTGCCTACCAGCAGCTTCTGCAGTTCATAAATTATTCCATGTCTGTTGGGAAGACCTCATCCCAGCTTCTACTAACCCTATCTGGTGGCAATTTGGTTTTGCAAATATTTCTGAATACCACGGGATTGTTATTTCAAGAGAGGGTTGTACTGCGCTGCAAATATTGCTGGGACTCTATCAAGCTATACGAATAGATGTATCTTTAGCCGAGGACCCCATTCCTTTCCAGCCACCTGGGAACACAATGGGCATGTCAAAAAAGATGCTGCAGAAAGCATACAAAGCTAATAGACTTGATGGTCTACTCCAGCGCTATATCAGCAATTCTATCAGTAGCTATGGCAACAGGGTTGCAAAGTATTTGTTCATGTGGCGTCAGAACAAGTTGATAATTGGGCCAACAAGACCAACTTCAAGTAACATGGTGGAATGGCATAAAATAAAAGAAGAAACAAGAAGAAATATCTATGTCAAGTACTATGAACATTAATGCGAAACTGACTTGCACATATGAGAAGATGCAGTTATTGTAACCAACCCTATAGCTGGGTTAAAGTTTATTAACTTGGCTCAGCAGTTCAAGTTCAGTTTTTGTTGTGTTATTTAAATAGGGAAACATTGTTGTGTAAAGTATACATACCACACTACAACTCTTTGTATGTGTTTTATATATCGCGGTTGAAATTTAAGGTTTTATACATTGAGTTTATATCGCTGTTGAAATAAACGTTTTAATAAACCTTGTTGTAGAACTTGAATTGTCTTAATCTCTGCTATGGCAAATATGGATGTTCCTTCATAAAGAATTATCCGTTCAGTACGTAAGCAGTAACTGACTCCCCCTCCTCCCTAGTAATTAAGGTCCGGACGCGATTCGACAACACGACGCGATTTTTAGTTTTTGAAAGTTAATAAAACAGCCAATGAGAGCAAATTTTGAAAGATATGTAGACCAAATAACTCAAAATGTTATAACTTTGGATCAAAGTTATCGTTCCATTTAAACTTGGATCAAAGTGAAAATCGAAAAATCGCGTCGCGTTGTCAAATCGTGTCCGGTGTGTTTAGTTGCGTACGTATAACATGGATAATCCCTAAGATTAAGGTCTGTTTAACTCAGTGTTTAAGGAGGCTAAAAACAAGGAGGGAAAACAACCACTGTAGAAACGGTTAAGTTTGCAAACCAATTAATTTACAAGAGAGCTGATATTTCCCATGGTGTGAAGACGAATTGAAATGAAAGAAGACCTACATGAGCTGTCAGTCTAAATAAGAAACCGGCACTTTTTAAACCCGGTTACAGACGCATAGGCGTACCGGGCGGGGGGGCGGGGGGGGCGGCAGCCCCCCCAGTTTTTTGGGCAGTCGGGCAATATTCGATGAGCAGTCGGGCAATTTTGGTTTGCAATAAAAAAAAATGGGTCAAATTCTGTCAATTTTGTCTAAAATTAATTCAATTTTTTGGCAAATTTTGTTTTTTTCGAAAATTTATGTTATGCTCCGGAAAAATTGTTTGTCCGGAAAATTTTTTTGACCCCTAAAATGTTACACTGACCGAAATTTTTTTGGCGACGGGGGGGGGGGAGGTCGCCAAAATAATTTTTCCGGAAAAATTTTTTTGGTCCTAGTCGGGCAGAATCCCGAAAAGTCGGGCAGAATCTCGAAAAGTCGGGCAATTTTCTTGCCGCCCCCCTAATTTTTTCCTTCCGGTACGCCCATGTACAGACGGGCAAGTTTTCTATGGCAAGTTTAATAAGTATAGGTTATTTTGAGGCAACGAGGGGATATGTGATTTATTCACCGAGGCGCGCAGCGCCGAGGTGAATAAACACATATCCCCGAGGTGCCTCAAAATAACGTACTTATTTTTCACACTGCGAGGTCGCGTTAATGAGTCAGAAAAGAAATAATTCTTAATGCCATTTTGCCTTCGCGATGTTGTTTTTTCTCATTTTTTTGTGCTGCAAAGACATTGCAGGTGAATATTAGAGGGGATTATTAATTGCAGGTGAATATTAGAGGGGATTATTAAACGGAAATTGATTAGAGGAGAATATTGAATATATTCCCCGACAAGAACAAAGGAAACCGAGCAGGGTGAAAAATAATATTTGCTAATTACACGCGTGTACGACGTACAGCAAATTTTCTACTACGTTTTTGGTCAGTTCTGTCTGGTTTGGTCAGTTCTGACAGTGCCGCGGATAGTGATTTGATCTACGCAAAAACGACTCTACAATGCGAAAACGTGATAAGTACCGAGAACGTTTTAGTTTAGGTCAGCCGTTGGGATGCTATAAAACGTGATAAGATAAAAATAAATTTAATTTGGAGAGCATAATTAGCGCAGCAGGAAAGCCATCATATCGCCAGTGTTAGAATATCAATTGCATGCATGGCTTTGCAGATGCTAGCAGCGCAGTGTATTCAGCTGTCATGCACGAAATGCAAGATTGATAGCGAGTAAATCTAGGTTGCGCCAATGAAAAGGTGCAAAGTCCTCTCATATTTCTTCTCGGCACGGCACGGATCTCCGTGCCCTGCCGAGAAGAAATACGAGAGGACTTTACTGAAAAGGTTAACTATACCACAGGTTAGCAGCCACTTTGATAGCTAAACTTATCATGCACACGATTAAGAGCGCTTTAGAATCACAATTAGAAATAAGCAGAATAAGACATTGGCTTGATAGTAAAACTGTATTAAGTTCGATGCAGAACCAAGAAGAGTAGAAACAATCCGTACGACATAGAAGCTACATAAAGTAAATTAAATTTTACAATTAGACAGAATTAGTAAGATGCATCGAGACATCGACATGCACAGTGTGTTCTAGCCTATATTATAATCGTTTTTACCTCGACGCTGGAGGGGCAATTGATAAAACTAGAATAGTGAAGCGAATAGTGCGAATAGTGCGAATAGTCGACGAATAGTACGAATAGTCCGCGAATAGTCGACGAATAGTGCGAATAGTCCGCGAATAGTCGACGAATAGTGCGAATAGTCGACGAATAGTACGAATAGTCCGCGAATAGTCGACGAATAGTGTGAATAGTCCGCGAATATGCGACGAATAGTACGAATAGTCGACGAATAGTGCAATAGAGACTTTGCAAGGCTTTGCAGCAGTGCTGTAGAACTAAATTTACCGGGGGGGGGGGAGGGGTGGCTCTGTTGACAAACATGACATCGTGAAAACATTCGTCGACGTACGTCAATGACGTCATACGTAATCGGTAAAAATTACAGGAACCACTGAGTATTTTAATAAAATATAAAACAACGGTAACTTCGAAAATAAACATTTTAATATTGTAGCTTTCGACTAAAATTCAGTCATCGTCAGGAAACATATTTCATATTTTTTTAAATTTATAATCATTCCTGATGGCATAAAGTGGTATCCATATGAGTCATGAATTTTACTGATGGAATTTTATAGGAATATTACTTGTAAGTTATGGCGTTGTAACTGAAGATTTAAGGGCTTACAGGTAAACTACGTGAAGCGTTCCTCTTTTGAGTTCCTAAGTTGATTGCAATTTTCCTCATTACCTTAGCAAATTTGAAAAACTCCCTTGCAAATCCCTTGAGGGAATTTGCAATGTTGCAAAGGCAAAAAAAAATTCCTCAGTTCCTGTTAGAAGTTCTTAACTTCCTGTTACAAGTTCCTAACTTCCTGTTCTGTTCTGTGCGTTGCAATTGGCCAACAAAAATAATCCACCAATGAAAACGCTAAGAACAGAACAGGAAGTTAGGAATTTAAAACAGGAAGTTAGGAAAATTGGAAAGGAACTTTTTTTGCGTTGGAATATTGCAAATTCCCTCAAGGGATTTGCGAAGAGTTTTTCAAATTTGCAAATCTAATTTTGAAAATTCCAAATGACTTAGGAACTCAAAAGAGGAACGCTTCACGTAGTTTACCTGTAAGTGATTTCGTGTGCTTGGAAAACGTGATTTACATCACGAAACAAGAAAAGATATCGATTTATTACCTATTTAGGCCCGTTTTTGGGCGAATTTGTTGGATCAGTTCGGGCGAATTTTGGGCGAAACCAAATTTCGGCAATGTGATTGGTCAGCGAAAAAATTCGCCGCGAAAAAGTTGGATCAGTTCCTACTCTTTTACTTATCGCTTCGCGCGAACAAATTCGCCCAGTGGAAAACGCCATTCTAGTGATTGTCATCAGTGGCGCCGTGGCCGGGGGCAGGCATGGCCCTCCCCTATTGTTGACACCCGTCGGAAAATTGCCAATGCTGCCGGAAATTGTCGGAAAATTGTCAAGGTTGTCGGAAATTGTCAAAGTTGTCGACGGGGGGGGGGGGGGGGGGGGGGGGTGAAAATTTAAAATGTTGTCGTCCGGAAAACTTTTTGGTTTGTCGGAAAAAAAAACCCGGAGCCCCCCCTCGCCCCGGTAAATTTAGTTCTACAGCACGGTGGAAAGCCTTGCAAAGTCTCTATTGCACTATTCGTACTATTCGTCGACTATTCGCGGACTATTCGCATTATTCGTCGACTATTCGCGGACTATTCGCACTATTCGTCGACTATTCGCACTATTCGTCGACTATTCGCGGACTATTCGCACTATTCGTCGACTATTCGCACTATTCGCACTATTCGCTTCACTATTCTAGTTTTATCAATTGCCATATTTATAGGGGATTTTTCATTTGTAAAAACATTCTTAAAAAATTATCGTGTTACCATGACAACTACTTAAAATACTTCACGTTCGGAAAATAAGATGGTTTTGTCAGCAAGGCGAGGGTTTCTGCATGCATGTATTTTCTAGTAGCAGGACATTTCTGATCTTTATTGTGTGCTGTATTCCCACATCTAGTGCATACTGGCTTATCCCATTTCATTCTATATCCCTTTTGCCCCTTTTGTCTATCATACCATGGTTTGGTCTTACCTCGATTCATGTTTCCTCTCCTATTTTTCTGCAATGAGTCTACCTGTGTAGGGTTTGAAACATCTCTGGTCATCACCCTTAGCTGTTGTCTGGTAGCTTCCTCGGTGCGGGAGGTTTCTCTTGCTTTTATAAGAGTTAGTTCATTCCCCTCAGCAATACATTTCTTACGGACTGTATCTGAATCAACTCCAAATACCAAAGCATCTCGCATCAATTCGTCATGTATTTCATCCGGATAACCACTGTTCTGAATAAGGAGGTTTGCTTCGGTTAAAAACTCGTCGAGCGGTCGGTTGTTCTGCTTCAAGTTTCTGAGATAGAAACGGTTGAGAAGATGGTTGGACTGAGGTTTTACGTGCTGTTCAAATCTTTTCCAATACTCGTCTAATTTGTCTTGATCGGCTTCACTCAAATGCCATGTATTAGAGATCAAGACCATAATTAATCTCCTACCCATAGGAGAACATATCGACATTTCTGCTTAACAGTTCGATCTTTCAAAGGGCCATCAAACAGTAATTCACATTTCTGCCGAAATCGCTTGAGCCGTTGTGGCAGATCTGGTCCGGGTGTCCAATCGATTCTTGGCGGTTCAAAGCCAGCTAGATCTCTCATTTTGTTAACAAGTAACCAAATATTTATTGTGTTGGGTTTTTAGACCTTCTAGTCATCAATCCCGTACCTGACACCATGTAAACTTGCACGTTTTATTTGAAACTAGCTTTATTGAAAATATGTTACAATATGGCGGCTATGGCAGTGAACTCTAATAATAACTGGAAGGCTAACTCCTATGATGAAAGTCTATGATTCGTTGAAGCCGGCGCGCGGGAAAATCAGCTTTCAAAAGGACTAAGGAGAGTTTCGAGGAGTGAAAAAAATTCTGCCAAAAGTTTGTTTTCGAGCAAAAATTTGCAAGAAAAACACTTTTC